AGCTTCAAGTAGCGTCTGTGTATATTTTAACGAGCAGGAATCTTCCCGTGATAACCGATACCCAAGGTACTGTACACTCTGCACATGAAATTCACACGTTCCCTTTTTTATACCAGCCTGGAGTCTGCTAATTTTCAAGGGCGACGTCCAAAGTGTATAAGTGTTGGGTGATAGTTCGACCGGTAACCAAGAGTTCATCCAAGTATGTACATGTGCATGTTATGTCTTTCACCTGTGTGTCAATAATAAGCTGAAAGATAGCCGGGGCCGAGCTTATCCCAAATGGCTTGCATGTGTAGCGAAATAGAACAATGAAACCATAGCGCATTTTTGGTAAAATAGCAATGCTTAAAAGTCCAGTATGATAGAAACCACTGAGAAAACATACATTTAAGATTAAGTGAAACGCAGTTTATTTGGCTCACTATAAACAATTGTTGAGTAGCTGAGATGTTCGCCTGATAAGATATATGTCTATAAATCCATTGGTTTGGGTTCTTCATAAACTGCTTCAGTCGTAAACGCCTAAATAGACTGCCGTACATTCCTAGAGCCTTTACAAAACTAATGAGGCAGATGGAATATGCCCCTAAAATTCCTGGTTGTCATCCGCTGAAGAGTCTCGACAGCACCGCGATCCTTTTCCTGCCACTGCTGCCGCGCTTGGATGGCGCATTCTGCGTGAAGTCGCAATGGGCATTAAGCAATTGTGGGAAGATTGCTGGGTCAAACCGATCATACACTCTGCGAACTAGACCTAAGTGCTGATTGCCGATTCTCGAAGCCTTTTCTGCTTGTTTTGAGCATCTGAGATCGTCCTGTATCAAAACCCCGAAGTCAGGCTCCTAAAGGGAGCCTTCTGCAAGGTGTGATCATCAAGCTTGTACACCCTCATCGGCTAGCGATTCAGGTGGATCATCGTGCAGTTGAATGAATAAATAAATAATTTATTCTCGACAGAGTGAGTCACACAAGCTGTGTTCAAATGGAGTAGGTTCCTTGTCGACCATACATAAATGCAATCCAGATCCTGTTAAAGCAGATCGTGATAGTACTTGTTATTAATTGCTTGCCATACCTTGACGTGGTTTGCTAGGTCGTTGCTAAACACCAGGAAGAAACGCGGTCCCAGTACTGAGCCCTGTGGAATACCACGTTACACCTCAATCGGGTTGCAACGTGATCTGCTAATACACTTGAAGCCTACGTTGGTGAAGAAAGTTGTCAATACAACCAAGAACAGGATCGCCAGTTGTATAACTTTGTAGCCTGTGTAGTAGGACACGATGATCCAGGTGATCGAAAGCTTTGTAACAGTCCTTATGGATGAGGTCGATTCCGACGCCATCATCAGCCACTTCCGTCCAACTCTCTCGTGCAATCAGCAGTTTAGTGGTGCATGACCGGTGTTGATGTAAGCCATGCTGCGCAGGTGCAAAGACGTTTCAATTTGCCCGGTAGGCCAGTAGAGCTACGGCGACGACTGCTTATATCATCTTCGCGAGCACAGGTAGAAGTCACGGGGCGATAGCTTGCAAGGTTAGAACGGTTACCTTTTCAAAGATTGAAGTGATACTACCATGCTTCCCCATAGTTGGAAGTTGTTGTCCGTGGAAGCATGTTGGCAAGAACTGTGACAGTTGCTTTGTCCTCGCGGACAAGTGCAGTGTAATGGTTACCAAGGGTCAGGAAATTGTCTCTGAATCGGGTTTAACCTGGTAGGCACACTATGCTGCATCCAGTACCGCCATACACTTTCGAGTCCTGCTCCTTAGAATTGAAGGCATTTTTACGGGACGAATTGGCTTGGTATCTGAAACTCTCTTGACCATGTCACTGGGTCTTGTAACGAACTCTGTCCAAACGTTGTCAAGAGGACTGTTGTTCGAGAATTCCCAAGTGGATGCCTCGACGAATTTTCTCAAGATGTGTCAGCGTGGGATTATATGAGTTAGTCCCGAGAGTTCTGATGTATACTCTGCATAACACACATAACAGAACGTCGTTACATGTTCACTGAGACCTAATAGACCTTACATCAATAACTTGTCAACCATGAGCTCTTCAATCGTGAGCACAAGGTGCAATACCGAAGGTTGGTTTGCTGTCCTGAATCTAATGTGCGTGTTGACATGATCGTAAAGGGAATGTTATCAATAAGTTCACGCAAGTCCGCTTTGAACGGTTCCGTGGCAGATGCCGAAATTTCCAGGTCATATACATTGAAGTAATCAGAGCTGAGAATGTGGTTGGATTTAGTGCGTTTTACCCTGTTCAGAGCAAGTATAAAGCTAGACTTTATTTCTAGATTGGACGTTAGGGGGCGGTAAACGTCAGCTACGAGATGCGTCGTTACGTCTTTGTTGGAGATGGCAACAGAGAAAGTCTTTGACACGCGTTTCCAGCTAATCAACTATTACGCATTGTACGTCACTGCGATATTAGAGGAGGATCCCACCTTTTCCGGGACGGTCGTTCCGCATGAGTGACATCCCTGCTATCTGAACCACAGCATCAGCAACTACTTGGTCTAACCAGTTTTCGGTACTGTAAATTAGGTCGAAAGCATTCGCAATCTGACCTACCGAAGTTCGGTAAATTTACTGGTGAGACCTTCGGCGTAAGTATACATACATGAAACTTTCTCAGAGTTAAGCAATGTTTCGGAGGTTGTGCAGTTCATACTTGAAGTTTAGCCGACCAGTGAGTGGCTGCCGAATAATCGTTCTGATTACGAATGGGTAGTCGGATGTGGGCATGATTCGATTTGATTCATCGCAATGAGATTCCAAGCCGCATAGGTAAGCTAGCAATCCGCAAAAGCACCAGATGCGCGTTTTGCCCTATTGGGGCTCGGCAGTGGTGCGTATCCATCTGTCCCCCACTGGGGATAGAACCCATGACCGCTAGGGGCTAACGCTAACTAGCCAGCAGCTTTTGCCACTGAGCCATGGGGGAAGACATCCGAGCATTACGAATTGAAACCTAACTGCGATATAGCCCGACCCATGCTCCACTGCTGAGCAGGTTATTGCCCGTGCAGAGGACAGTGGTTGGCCGGCACGGTCAGGTCTTCCCTTACCAGCGCCGTGAATCCACACAGCAATTTTGCATACTGGAAGGGCTGAGAGTTTGATTACGAATGAGTAGACGGATTTGGGCGTGGTTCGATTTAGTTCATCGCAATTAGAGTCCAAGCCGCATAGGTAAGCTAGCAATCCGCAAAAGCACCAGACGCGCATTTCACCCTATTGGGGCACGTCAGTGGTGCGCATCCATCGTTTTTCCGGTGTGTGCTTAGAGAAAGGTTCGACCTTTTATTCTTCGGCTGCGTTGTATCCCCCAAACCTAATCTAAGTATAGGTGTCTGATCGTTCACTTCATAAACAGATTGCATGGGTTCGTTAGGCATGTTACTGGTACCCTGTTCAACTATAGCTCCGATCGCGTTTGGTTCGTTAAGTGACACATCATCTGGAGTGAATATTATTCGATACTTTCACCCGAAGCTCAGCTGACAACCAGCAACGAAGTACGCCTCAGCTTGTAACATTTAGTTTTGATTTTAGGAGCAATTTCAACCCTCTCGAGCCACACCCTTTGTAGTTCGGTTAGTTGCTTATCCATGACACCGATTTCGAAAGCACGTCATCCACGGAGAGTTTTTCACGAGTATATCACCAGAAGGATCCCTATATATCAAGATAAAAGATACCTAGATTGCCGACTAATGACCGTGGCTAAACCAAATAAGTTCCCAGAGTGAATGCGTCCTGTGCATTTGTAAAATCTGTGCATGGGATCTGTGTACATCAGCCTGAGCGTTGCATGTGTTACACTACACCCTCGTTGGGTTTGTAAGCCTGACCTCGTGAATTCGGCATCAAAATGAGGTAACCACTCGGTCCTTGCAGAAAGCATTTTGGAATACCAGGTCAACATTTGTTCGCTCTGGTCATCCGTGCCTCACCTGTCCCCTAGCCTCAAACGGACATCTCGTTTACTCACGCAAGCGCTCTTTGTGAAACCCTATTGACTCCATTCACAACGGGATCGATCAAGCCAGTGGGGGTGACCCCGTGTTCCGGACAAGTTCACTGCCGCGCATGCTTTCGAGGGGATAGGTCAAGAGTTTGATTAACATTTATGGTAATGACCTTCGGCATGCATCTTATTCACCGAACAACGGACTAATAACGGACATGACTTATGAAACACAAAATACATGAACAAGTTAAAAATGTGGGTCAGTTAGTACCGTCCAGCTTGGATAGTCACACACCCATCGTTTATAAATCAATTTCTTGACTTGACTTGATTCGACTTGAGCGTCAGGACAGCAGCACAAACGGATACAAATTAGGTTGAGTGAGGTATTTTACAAACATCGGCATTATATTTCCTGATTTTCAAAGTGCTCTCCTAGTGTAAGGTTGTAAGTGACGAATGGATAAAGTAGTAGTAGTGGGGTTTGACATATAGCTTAAAATTCATCATAGCTACATGAAATTTTGTCCCACTTGAGCTCATTTTTACTTACAGTGCTTGCTAGCTGTCCGAAAGATGTAGTGAAACAGAAGATTTTACCACATGTTTAAACATTCGCGCACTTGGATATGACACGTACGATGAAATTAAGTTGAAATGTCGTGAAATCATCATCGATTATTAAAGACAGTAGCAACTACATAGTTTGCTTAATGAATGTGCATCACCATGCTTGTCTTAATGGAGGTTATGGCGGTTGGCTGGATTTGTCTCACCATAGAAAAGAGGCTCATTTGGAAACTATTAAATTGGGAAGTAAATCGTTCACCAATGTGTACACCAAAATGAGAACCGCTTCAGCCAATGCAAATTTGTTCTGGCAAAGGCTCATGATAGGATGCTGACCTGCCGTCGTTTACAGCGATATGTACAAATAGAATGCCCGTAAAGTTGGCAGTTTTAGAGAATCGAGTACAGCTATTTTATTGTTCTTTTTATTTACAAAAATTCAGCGCGAACTACTTACCGCAAAGGTGGAAAGCTCTTTGTCAAGACAGACCTACAGTGTTCAAAATGATGGACAGGCATTATGGGACCCGCTAATTTTGGGGACATCCGAACCAGTCGATAGAATTTCAGAGCAAGTATGCGGATCCCTTGTCGTTCGCTTCGCTGGGAGCACGATATTTCGGTTCGAAGAGTTCACAAATGCAAAGTACGTTAACAGCAGTCAGTCACATAAGTACTACTGGTTCTACAGTGCAGTTAGGTAGACATACACTTGCACATTTTGACTTTGAACACAGCATTGATCATGATTCGTCATCCGAAACTCGTTAGCTGTGTGACGGAAGAAAGTCATCACATTTCCTTTAAAAAGATTGTTTGAAAAAGAGAAGTCAAACACCAATTATGCTCATTCTATGACATTGACCCGAAGCGGTATCACTTGTTTGAACAGGTGAGACCGAACAGTTGTGAGTAAAGAGGAAGGACAAGAAAGCGTTGACGTGTCTAAAGTATTGAGTAGGCTTGTCCAGCAGTGACCTTGGTAAATCTTTTACGAATACTCAACAAAAGTAACACCCACAAGAGCTAGAATAATATGACTTAATTCAAAACTCCACTTAACCTTTAAACTCTCGAGTCTGTTACAGGAACACCACACGCATAAATCATGAAACCACATTGAGCGTTAGCTACTCCATGTGGCCTTGAAGCAAATATACTCTTCAGTTAAGTAGCTTCCTTATATTCTTTCCACAGTCCAAGTGGACAGGGCTAGCTTGGAAATATATATTTGTCGAATATTTGTTCATTACACAGGAGAACAAAATGGACTAGCGGAATAGTCTGGCTACAGACACTGCTGGAACAGGTGCTTCATATCAATTACAGATATCACAGGCATAAGTAATTTTAGCGCATCAGCAGCAGCTTAACCATGGTAAGATCAACGATCTTTGCAAAAATTCTACGAATAACAGCAAAGTTTTAATAACTGCGCGGCTGAAGTTTGAATTCCCAGCTAGTTGGTAAACTGTGTGAGAGAAGCACTACCTACTGCTGAAGCAACTATTTCCGTACAACATTTTAGCAAAATGTTAACATGATAGCATCACACGATTTGTAACCGGAAAATTTCTCTGAGTATTATCAGTTGCGCACCGGTGATTGCGTGCGTATATGGTTGGCGGCATCCGGTTTCGCAGTTACCTGTCACTGTGGCCAGTCACAGGACGCCTGCGCCTACAGAGAGACCATGGGTGGCTTGCGCTGCACCACACCCAGCTCCAACCACACACCACACATCCAGGGTAAACCCGAAGGAATAAGACCAACAGGCATGCGGATGGGGAGCCACGTTTCATCAACGGAGCCGGCCCACACTTATTCACAGGCAAACACAAACACGCTGTATTTGGGGTATCAAGTGCACACAAGGCGGTGGATGGACCGTAGTCCACTCCACACTGACTGCATGGAACCACTCTTCGAGCCTAGCACAACCACAAAGACAGTGCACCCTATCCCATCCAGCAATGACCAACTGTCTCCTAGAGCCAATATGAACGAGGTAGTGGGTATTAGACTGGTAGGCACCTTGTCAACATGCACATCAAACGCAGCCAGACCGGGGTTGTCAAACGACAGCCAGCCACTTGAAATGACAATATCAAATAAAACATTTCTGTTAAAGAATACAGCTATGCAAACATAACTCTCCCCTAAATTAGCATATGAAGTAAGTTGGTTGGCAACGAATCCGCGACAAGTACAAAATGTCCAGAAGTCACTCAAAAAATACTACAAACGCAATTAACCTAACGAAGATAACCACAGGTAACGTAAGCGACGTGACCATTTAATAGAAAAGTAGTCAGGTAAGCAGAACAAATCAAATGAAGTGGAATGAAATTTATCCAGCTTAAAAAGACCTAGATTAAGTGTAAGCTGATTTAGCCCAACTGCGGTGTAAGAGCATCATGAATGCAACATCAGCCTCAGCATATATATATATATATATATATATATATATATATATATATCATATAGTTGGGGTAGCGAATTCATCCAAAGCGATACGCCGACAGACACACTCACCTCATTTTTTGTCTGTCAGTTGTTTTATTACCACAGCACAGCCAGTGTGACGAACGTGTCCTTTTCACACATAGCGTGGGTTTGTTGTTTTGTTTGATAACCACCGCTTCGCCATTTCGTAAAACATAATGACCAGCCGAAAGCTGCGCGTGGGGTCCACGTTGTGCTTGCCTGTAAGCAGATGAGGAGTGATTGACATGGCTGGAAGGTTACATGGCAAATCGTTAGCACTCAGGGCGATGGTAGAGGTCATTTGCGAGACGAGTCTTCTCACCTACTTCTGTACATACTCTGCGATTCCCACTTGCAGTTGGTGCAGTGTCATACCCACGTAGCTGGCGTTGTAACTACATATATATTGTCAAAGTAAGTATGAACGGCTGGAGGGAGTTATTGGTGGCTTAACCGATGGGGTAGGGATGCGAGTCGTTGAGTATAATAATACCGGTAGCACCGCGGGGTACACACGCGCCACTGCTACTTTCGAACGTGGTTGGAATAGATGGCTTACAGCATCCTCTTTAAAAAGGTAGTTGCAACGTAGCCTCCAATTTTTATGGTGGATACTTTCTATTCTGCTATCTTATTTACAAAATGAGTGATAAAAGCAGGCGAGTACCCATTTATTGTCTTGGTGTTGGTGATTATTTGCATCTACCGTTCAAGCATGACTTGAGTGCATATGTATCTCGCTCCATTAACCGCAGTGTCCTCCAAGCTTTACATGTAGTGTTTTGGGGTAAAGCTATGGAAGTACAAATAAGGCCCCTGTAGATTTGCGATTGACAAAGCTAGCATTGACCCGTCGTTGCTGTTCCTTGCAGCATGTCTAAGTATGGCAAACCATTATTTTTCTCATGTTCCGTTGTCGCCGTGAATTTTTGTTGCAGGCTATGCAATTAGTTACTCCGTTGCGAAAGAGGTCCACCTTACCTCAAGTGCACCAGACGCTCATGATGTCATGTACCTGTATTTCCACACAATCACGAGTGCGCAATTGATGATATGCAAAGAAACTGCCCATAGGTTGCTCTAATGCTTCGTAGCACCCTGATTCCGCAAAAATGTGTTATGTGTTAAATAGTGACGATCTGGAACTTGTTAATTTGTTAAGTGACAACACAAGGATTAACGCAGCAATTGACTCAGCACCGCCATATATTTGGGACGCGTCACAAAAACAGTAGCTCAGTAGCACATGGTGAACAATGATTTATAACGGGTAAGGGGTAGGTGTTTGCCAAGTCACGTAGGATGGTTGGGGTGTGTCCTGGGGCTGATAGTCGGGGCTTATGGAATCGCCTGCCAAAGTGTGGTCGATCAGGTGATCGATCGAGTGGGCAGGTGAGTTGTACTTTTCCTGAGACTTGGGAATACAGCGCTTGTGTGTATAGATGGTGTGTTTTCTGTCTCCTGAAGCGGCTGGCAGAACCAGGCCCACAACATAGTGACAGAGGAGAAGAACCTGATTCGCCGAACCCCGCTCGCTTTTGGCTGACAGGCGCCGATCCGCTGCCGACTGCTCTACTGATGACGGAAAGCACGCTGCCTGACAACTGGAGAATGTAGAAAACGAAGTGCAAGGATTTCGTCATGCTGACTCAGTTGGATTCCAATCGGTTGCCTTACCCACTCACTATGTTCAGACACGCTCTTGGCGACGAAACCAGACGAGTACTTGAGACTCTAGATGGTGGTGACGCAGAGGAGCAGGAGCCGGACATTTTGGAGATAATCAAGAGATTTGGAGATTATTGCGAAAGTCAAGCAAATGTCTGTTTTTTGGTCGCAATCGCTTACCGGATGAGTCGGTCACGACCTACATTACAGAATTGAAAGCTCTGGCGCGAACGTGCAACTTCTCTAACTGTATGCAGGACTCCCTGCTACGCGACCGCATCGTAATTGGCATAGGAACTGACGACCTCATTCGATGCCTTCTTTGGCAGGAAACTTGTCACTAAATTCGTGTGTGCATATGTGCCTAGGGAAACAACAACGTCACGACACCTCCAGAATTTGCGGGCGAGCACGATAGAAGGACTTGGTACAGTATCGAAGACCAAAAAAGCTCCATCTTTGCTATCCGAGGGGCGGGAGGCCAGCTGTCATTTTTGTGGTCGAAAGCATCCAAGACGAAAGGAGAGTTGTCCAGCTTGGGGCAAGACCTGTAAGAAGTGTACAAAGAAAATCCATTTCGCTCATTGTTGCAGATCGACCAACATCAGTGCGGTAGACAAAGAATGTCAACATGACACACAGGAGCTTTCAATAAACAACATGGAGCATTTTGGAGGGCAGAAGTGCACTTTTGCTACACTGTTAATCCAAGGAGGTCCAGTTCGCCTTCAGCTCGATCCGGAAGCCACCGTCAACGTGCTACCCGAGAGATCTTGTGCAGGAGTAAAATGTACTGAAGCAAATAGTTGTCCCAAAATGTGGAACGGCTAGAGATTAAAACCGAAAGGAAACGCTATCGTAACCGCTGTCAACCCTAAGGACGGTACGGAACACCAGCTTGAGTTCCTGCTTGTGTCAGCAGATCTTATGCCCATCTTGGGCATTGATTCCATCCAGCGCCTTGGCTTTGTTTCAGTTAACCATGATCATTTTGTTTACTCGTGTCAGACTGCTGTAGATATTGTTGATTTGTATCCTGCCGTGTTCGATGGGGTTATTTGGAAATTCGATGGATGCGCTCATTTATCGTTAAATGAATCTGATAGGCTAGTAGCACTACCAGCTAGAAAGGTGCAGTAGCGTAGAGTAGCGTAGAGGGGCCTCGGTGAGAGGTGACTGGTCAACTTAAAAAGTGACCCACAAATGTTGCTGTCGGGACAACTGACGTCAGAGATCGCAACAGTTGGTACAATTTCTATCCGAACACTGACAGATGTCCATAACACTGCACGACAAAGACCACCATGTGTTAGTTTGAATTGTTGTGCGTGACATTTTCCTAGAACTTGACCGTTCATCAATCACCAGTGCACCGTTTGTTACAAGGAATGTCATAAATGAACGCATTGCCGATCAATCAGACGACCTCCTTACCGTGGGAATCAAACAAAGCCGTTTTGACAACGCGGGATCAAACGGAAGTCTAATGTG